TCAATATAAAAATTATAATATTGAATTAATAGTTAAAAAAACTGAAAATTCATATATTATGAAAAATAAATAATTTTTATAAGTTTTAAAGACTGTTAAAAAATAATTAATATTTCTTATTAAAATTCAGTAAAATTTTATAATTCATAAAATAAAGAAATTTTAATTTTAATTATTTGTAGAAATTTATTTAAAAATCTTTGTATCAAAAATCATTTCTTTTAAAAAAAAGTGATTATTATAATATATATAATAATAAAACTAATTAGATAGTAGAAAACTATTATTTGAAATAATGAGTCTAGATTTATTTTTTTTTTCAAATGATAATTCTAATTATATTTAGTAAAAGATAGAATTTGATATAATATTGAGAATTTAAAGTTAATTAGCAAAGTACATAATAATAATTTAATAATATAATTTATAAATTAGTAATTTAAAGGAATCGCAATATAAAAATCTATAATAAAATTTAGCAATATGAAAATGCTATTAAGTTTTTTTAGAAATGATTTAATAATATTTTTAGAAGAAAAGTATAATTAAATATAATAATAAAAATGTTATGATTAAAAATATTTTTTTAGAAAAAGGATTAAAATCATTAATAATAAATAAATAGGTTAGATTATATTGAATTTTAAAAAAAATTTATTACTGTTTATTCAATTCAAATATTGTAAATAATCTTATGCATTTTAAGATGATAATGCTTCTATTTATACTATAAAGAGATTTTAAAAATTGAATTACATAAAAAAATAATTAAAATTCTTCAAATTAATCTTTTCAATCTTTAGATCTTAATCCTACTGAACATTTATAGCATAAACCAGAATAAAACTTCAAAAATGATTTGTATATCCAAAAAATTTATAAAGATAATATAAAATTTTATATAAATTTATATTAAATAATATTATTTAAAAAATAAAATTATTTTAGTAAAATATCTTTATTTATAATATTAATAAATTTTAATTTAAAGAAAATTAAATATTTATTAAAGAATAAATATATTTATTATTATATTTACAAAATATTTATATATCATATTATGTTAAAATAAAAGAAATTCTTTTATAAATTTTCAAAAACGCAGGCTCTATAAATTGACCAGAATTAACATATTTTTAATTTCGGCCGGAGTTATGAAAATAATAGGAAATGCAATTGTTTATGCATTAATTTTATGTAATAAAAATGTCCCAATGACGAAGGATTTATTTCATGACATTCATGACATTCATGTGTCAAAATCAAGTCTTATATCATTCATCATAGACTTTATTATTTGTATATTCATGAATTTCACATGCCGTTATTAGGTATTCAATCGAAAAATACGCCAACTCTATATTATTAAATTTGTGAAATCCAATGATATATTTTTCCGCTATTTCAATGTAAATATTAAGTTTATTCTTTGAAAGAATAGTTACCTTTTGATACATCAAATCGAAGTTCATTGAGTTCTACAATCATTCATCGGTACGTTGTACTGATCAATAGTTACGTCATTCAAAAGTGTTTGCAGTCCAGGAATAACTTGCATATTAACGTTATTTTCTTGTATTTCTTCAGTTTTAACAACGTTCATTTGCTGGTTTTTATCAACGTTCGTTAAATCAAATCGATCATGCGTAGAATCACCTATGAATACTTCATGTTTAGGAATGGGATGAAAAGTTTGACCATTTTCTTTTGGCTGAAGTTCTATTGTCGTTTCTTTTCTAAAAATTTAATGTTGAAGATTAGCTCTGGGAAATTATATATATATATATTTTTTGCTTCATTGTGAAATTTACTTGATATCTTCAACTTCAAATTCTTTATTCAACTGTTTAACTTCTACATTTTGTTGAGTGAATCCATGTTGTGTCGTTAATTGTGATTCTTTGGTTTCTAAATTTAAAGATAGTAAATGATTTTAATTTTTAAAATTTCTAAAAACACGCGTGATACGATTAAGAAACCGTTCAGGAATTATCAATCGATAATAATTAATTGGTTATACCTGAAAAATTACGATTCTGTAATTGTCTGATCAGCGTTAACGCGTCTGCGTTCCTTAATTGTTCCGCGAGATTTTCATAATAATCAGCAACAAAGTTCAAACGTGCACGTTGCTATTATTATTAAAAAAAAAAAAAAAAAATTTATACAAAATTAACACAATAATATTCATATCTTATTTTAATAACAAAAATGGATACGGTAGTTTGTAAATTATTGTCAAGGCATTACAGACATATTCATAAAACTTGTGGATATCTGCATTGCTTCTTGATGTAGACATGGTGAACTTTGAACAAGATGAGAGTATGATCGCGTAATCGCGTTTCTTCTACTGATGCAGCAATCATGGAAATTCCATGGATTTTATGGTCAAAGATTATCAAATCAAACTCTTTTTTTAATAATTTTCGGAAATAAATAAATAAATAAATATATATATATCAGAATACTAAGATTAAAATCTTAATTTTTTAAGATAATCTAGGTTTGATTTATAAATAAGCCATTAAATTTCTTATTTAGAATAAATTAAAAAAAGGTTAAAATATTCAGAGGGAAAAGAAAATAAATGAACAATAATCATTATAAAACAATTATTGTCAACTATTTTGATCGACCGAAATTTTTTTTTAATTGGATTACACTCTTACATTATCCGTTAAAAAAAGTAATGATATGGGTAATCTTGTCCAGATGAGGTAAAGTATTCAAAAATTGTTTTCGATTTACTTTTGTTAAGAACTGAACATGAAATATCATCTTTAATTTTAATCTAGTTTTAAAAGTACAAAAGGGCGTTATGCAACCGATCTAAAAGACAAAATGATGATTATCAAGTTTAGACATCTATGTATTGTAGATCATTTTCTTATCAGGATATTTTTTTTTGTTCAGTGACACAGTGACATGTTTAAATCTGGTGACATTCAATAAACTCGATAAATAATAAACAAAAGGTTTTTTCTTTGATTTAATACCTTAAAAGTTGAAAGAATGTTACCACGAAAAATGTTAAATTTACTTGAAGTTTCACGAAATCAGCCTGTGTAATCATTTCTCATTTTCAAAACAACATGGTTATTCAAAATATCACATTCGACCCGAATTTTTTTTTAAAAATCACAATAGCCGGTACCAAATTTTTTTTTTGTTTTGGGAAAACAATATTTAATATTCAAAATTTTCCCTTTGGCACGCATCATCATGATTTTTTGAATGTCAAAGATTGCAATGACGCCATGACATTATTTTTAAATTTTTTTTTTTTTATTGTGGAGTAGAGTGTTTGTTTTCCAATTTTGGAATAATAGTGACATCTTCATGGGTTTCAAGCTTTCGATGAGTAAATGATAGGATTTTCGTTAGTAAAGAAAACTTGCTGGGCAATTTTACTCCTTTTATCCAAAGTTCTTTGTCTACAAAAGATAATGATTTATAAAAGGTGATTGTTCTTGATTGGCTGAATGTTAACGTCGAATCACAAGGTCATAAGCAATTTGGGGTTTGGAAATTCAGGGTTTTTAACAGAGATTTTTTATTATAAAATGTGACATCATATTTGCACAATCTGGGATTTCAAAAAAATATTGTTTGTTTCTAGGTGACTTTTGCGAACAGCCCTCAATTTTACTTTTCACAACAATGCCCCAAGAGCAGAAGCAGAAGAAGAAACGGGTCCCTATCACCGCCCTAACAAAGCAACAAATATGCTTAAAGAAGAGAGAGAATTTGAAGCTCAGAGACGAGGACCTCGCCAAAGAATATGGTCTTGACAGGAGTACAATCACTAAAATCCTCAAACAACGGGAAAAGTGGTTAGCTATTGATCCTAATTCCAATTATGCCAAACAGAAAACTCAAAAATCACCAAAATTTCCTCAAATAGAGGAAGCATTATCGTCATGGTTAACTTTACACATTGGTAGTGGCAGTCCCGTCAGCGATGCACAACTTCAGGAGAAGGCTCTGGAGTTTGCGCAGATGTTCGGAATTCGTAACGAGTTCCAAGCTTCAAACGGGTGGATATCTAAATTCAAAAACCGTCACCAGTTCCGTACTGGCGAAAATCAAGGGACGTCCGAGGTTTCCCTACAAGTTAATTCACAGTCAACACCTATTTCTGGGACTTCAGTTATATCACCTCCAGAACACTCGAATTTTAGCAATGCTTTGAGTTTAGTAAGTTGTTTCATCATGCTGAGAAAAATGATTTTCTTTTTTGGTATCAATTGTATAAATACAAATTTTGACGTCATAATGTGACGACTGGTTTAGATAGTCACAATTTGAGTTTCACTTTTTTTTAACTAACCTCACATTTTCGAAATATTATATTTAAAGCCTCCTAATACCCACTACTCATCTAACCCGTCAATAGCCGCAACGACTCGTACAAATGGGACAAACACGCTGACACTTACAAATGCTTCTAGCTCTCCAAACTATATCCCATATGGGGCTGCGTCAACCCACATAACAAACTCATACACTCCTTCACGGATATATTCAACAACAGTACCCATAGCCCCTTCCATGGTCCTTGAAAACGTAGCGTACGTGACACTGATGAATTTTCTGTTTGTGATGATAATTCATTGTTAATTTACATCTTATTTCATTTATTATAGCTTTTTGTTTTGTGGTTATCAAAACGATATCATTGGAATGTGAGTGTTTGGGTTCATTATAGGTTTATAAATTTAAATTATTAGATACGCGTAATTAAATAATTTATTTTCATTACGGAATTCAACTTGTTCAATTAACTAACGCGTTTTTTTTTATTAAACACACGTAGGTTTCAGACAAGCAATATTCTGAATAACTTTTTAATGCGTTCAAAAACACTTTTTAAAACCGTTCACCAGGCTACTATTCATCAAGCTCATCAGGCTAAGCAAAAAAAGAACATCTGTAGCTTCTCTGTTGGCCTTTCTGTGAGTTATTCGTTACAGACGCGATCTATTTAAATACTTAAAATTCGCTAACCTAATAAACTATTAATTTTTTTTTTTTTTGCGCATTATTTTTTGTATAGTTTCGACCTGGCTATCCCGAGGTTTCTTCAAATAATCGTTATTTTGAGAAGCTGAAGAACTTGGGAAGGCTTATTGAAGGGACTAAAGGGGCAGAATTTATCGATGGAATGATACCAAGAGAGGTTGGTAAATGAGATATTTAAAGCATTTCATTATATTCTGTGAACATCACTTAATTATTTTTTTTTTTATCAATCAATCAGGATGATATTATAATCAAAGTATGTTCCAATATTTTTTACAACTTTACACATGATATTCCTCTCGATTAATTCATTAATTACTAAGAAATGATTTCCCATTTTTTTTTAAAAAAAAAAAAATATATATATATATAAAAAAAAGAAACGTCGCGTCGACGCTTTTTATAATACTGATCTTCAAATGATACTCGAATCACGAAATATCCGTCATATCATTCTTTCTGGTATCGCAACTAGTGATGTGATTCTTTCTACATGCCGTTCTGCCGCTGACAGAGATCTGAATGTTACCGTTGTGCGCGAATGTTGTTTTGATGATAGCGAAGCGCTGCAAAACACTTTAATGAACGAATTATTTCCAACTCAAGGCGTTACGGTAGCCTCTTTAGATGAGATTTTAAACGGTTTGCATGGTGTGAATTGAGATGGAATTAAAGAGAAAAAAAAAAAAGAAAAAAAAAAAAAAAAGCAAAATCTTATCTTCTAAAGTTCCTTACTATATTTATCTCGTATTACAATATCAAATCTCACGATTTGATTAATTCGATTTTGATACGATCTATTTTTTTAATTTCAACCATATGTTTGAGGACTATGGATTTATCGAAATTATCGAACTTTATCCACATATATGTTAGACTCATTCGTTGAATTCGATATTAATATTTTTTTTTTTTAAGACAAAAAAAGTTCATCTCACAGATATGCAACGATTTCACAAACTTTTTTTTTTTTTTTTAAAAAAAAAAAAAAAATTGTAATTATACTCCATTTTTAGTTGTGGATAATTCTTTTTAAATTATGTTTTGTAATAATTTTTTTATATTAATCGGTCCATCGGTCTCTCTTAAGTTTTTACCTTCATTCAATCGATAAATATTAATTCCCTCCCTCGTATCGTAAACTTTGTACATAACCCCTTTATTTTATGATTATTAGAAATTCTTTTTTTCTTTAAGTAACATATAAAACCCTATAAGACAAAAAAAAAAAAAAAAAAAAATAATAATAAATTCGTAAAGAGCTTTCGGGCAAGAATGGTTTTTTTTTTATTTCAGGAGGATAAAAAATCAAACTTAATTTATTTTTAAAAAAAAAAAAAAAAAAATTTGTGTATTATTATTTAAAAATATATATAAAAAAATCGGTGTATATCATTTTATCACATTATATTAATATCGCATATCACTAATCACAATCACTATGATATTTGATAAAAACTGGCTTTCCATATATAATTCAGGTTTTACGAGTACTCAAAAGTACTCAATTATTAGATTCGTTTAACCATCTATAAATAGAACTAAAATCTTTCTTTTCATAACCAACAGTATTCGAAAGTAAACTATACAATTGTTGAGCAATTGCTCCTAAAATGACGGTAGCATTGGCGTCGTTAGCAGCATTAACCGCTAACTTTGTATCTTTTGCCATTAACTTATTATTAAAACCACCTTCATAATTTTTACTTGAAGGTACGTTTGATAAAACACCGGGACAAGGATTATAACTATCGCTTGACCAACATCTACCAGAAGAAGTATTTAAAATATTTGCCAACAATTTTGGATCCATACCAAGTTTCACTCCAAGATTCATTGTTTCCGCTACACCGATCATTGTTATCGCTAATAACATATTATTACATATTTTTGTTATTTGTCCCGCACCTAATCCCCCACAATGAATTATATTTTTACCCATATGACTTAAATATGGTTTTGCCCTGTTGAAATCTTCTAGTGTGGATGCTCCAACCATAAATGTTAAATTGGCGGCTTCCGCACCAACAATTCCTAAAATAAATTAAAAAAAAAAAAAGGCGTATGTGATAAAATAAGTTAAGATATTCTAAATAAAATTTTGCTTTTTATCTTCTCACCTCCAGAAACGGGGGCGTCAATAGCTCTAGCACCTTTTTCAATAATTTTTTTTGATACTTCTTTGGTAACATTTTGATCAATTGTACTAGAGTCAATTAGGAGACTATTTTCATCAATACCATGTATTAAACTATCTTGTGCTTCTAAATAAACTCTTTTTACATGAGGAGAAGCTGGTAACATTGTAATTATTGTTGAGGCTTTTCGCGCTACTTCGATTGGTGTTTGAGCATGTAAAATTGGTTTCTTTGATAGAGTTGATTCATGAAGGAATGTAAACTTTTCCAACGCTGTTTTATTGACATCATAAATAATTAATGGTGAATCGGATTTTTTATATAGGTTATTAGCCATTTTGAAACCCTTTTTGTAAAATAAATTAGAAAATCCCGGTTAAGATATATACTTTTAAGAAATGATCCTTTGAAACAGGGTGAAATGAATGAATTCCATACCATACCATTTGACCAAGTCCGATAAATCCAATTGTTTCATTACGAGGCGTCTATTATAACGTCAATTGTTAAAAAAATCAATAATAAATCTTTCACAAAGTTTAACAATTATTTCCTTTTTTTTTTTTACCTTGACTGAATGAAATATAAAAAAAAAAAAAAACCTTTAAACAATTTAATAGAATTAATTATTATTTCTTAAATAAAAAAAATTACAGACCTAAAGTAGAATAATGAAGCTTAACGTTATTTCTAATGACTCTTGACAAGAAAGTTTTGAAATAGGGTTTAAACTTTACGTGAGACATTGGGAAAATTTTGTGCATGGTAAAAAAAAAAAAAAACCGTACGTTTTACATGTTTCACGGATTTTCAAGGAATCTTTACCTTATTAAAATTTCCGTGGGCATGTTTTCAAATTTGGCAATCGTAAATTTAGGACACCGTTAAATTTGCCTACTTTTTTATGCAGGGAAAATCGTGCTGATCCTTATTGATTTACAGGGATCATATGTGTTAATATAACAAATAAAAATTTTTACTAATTTAAACCTTATATGAAAAAAATTTCTATATATATAAACTTATTATAAGAAATTAATCAATTTTCTTAAATATTATTTTATTTGAAAAATAAGTATAATAATAATATTTGCAATTTATATAAATTATAAATATTTTAAAGTATGTTATATTATATTTCATTATAAATACTGATAGTCTAATATTTGTTAGACTATAATATATGTATCAGTAGATTTATTAGTTAAAAATAACTTTATAACTTATATTTGTAAATCAAGTTACAAATTTAAAATTGCAAATATTATAACTTTTAAAAAATTAATCTTGTAATATAAAGTACAATTTTGCAATTAATTTACAAGTTTGTAATTAATCTATAAATTTTAATTATTTATAATATTTTTAATAAAAAGAATTTTCTTAATAAAATCTAATTTTTTAAAATAATAAAATAAAAAAAAATTTTTTTTAAAAAAAGTAAAATTATAATCATTATATATATTTTAATATTTATCATCATAATTTAAAAATAATTACATTAAATAGTACTATTATTTAAAACTATTTATAATACAGTATTTTTTATATATTTTTCATATTTAAGTAAATATTCAAAAAAACTTACAAAATAAATTTAACAAGCAATTTGATAAGTTTTATAAGAGTTTTTATATATATAGTCAACTTTCTCTAAGTGCATTTCCCTTGTGGCTAGGTATGACCATGCATTTATAGAGGATGTGCATTTATATATTTTATAAATTTTTTTTTTTTTTATCAATAACAAAAATAATATTATATATTTTTTTATTGTGTAATACTTTATTGTTTAATAAAATAATTAACAATTATCATTAAAATTTAATTATTATATTAAAATTATAATTATTAACTAAAATACTGATTTATAATAGTTTGCTTCATTGAGTTTATCTGTTTCTTTTTAATAAATTTTTCAATTATATTTACCAATTTTAAATACTCACTTGTATATTCTTGCTGAAGTAAAAATATATGCACTTTTTAATGTTATATTAAAACTAATTTCTTTTTCAATACTATCATCTATTTCATCAGTATTTTCTACATCTTACTTTTCTTAAAATTGTTTACAAGTTTTGTAATAATCTTATTATCATTCAGAATTTCACATATCATATTTTCTTCAGGAATATTAATAAACTTTTTTAATCCCATCATATCAGGAAAATTAAGAATTTTAATGGTATTTGTAAGTTTCTCAGATACTTCATAATTATCATTCAAAGGAAACTGAAAATCTAACTTATCATCAATATCAGGAAAAATCTTTATGTGATGCTAGCAATTGTAAATAGTTTCAGTTGTGATATTATTTTAACCTTGAATAACATATTAAATTGCTTACAAGACATTTATCTTTAAATCTTGTACACATTCATCAGTTTCAACTTACTCTAACATTCAACTAAAATCATAATATTAAATTTAAGTTTTATTTAATATAATAAATAATAAAATAAAGTTTATAATTTACAAAATATGATAATATCAGTAATATTTTTAAAAGACATAATGATTTCAGCATCTATTGGCTGAATTTTTGAGGTTATATTTGAAGATAAAAAGTAAACTTTAACATGTAGAAGAACTAGATCTTCTAACTTATGAATTGTACAATTATCAAGAAGTAGCAAAATATGCTGATCTTTATGTTTTTGAGCAACCTGATTATCAAACTCTTAAAGACATTCTTGAAAAAGAGTTATAGTCATCTAAGCTTTCTTATTTCTTCGATATATTATTGATAAATTGTGAATATTAATATTTTTAAAATATTGTAACTTTGCAAATTTGCCAATTATTAAAGGATCCAATTTATGTAAGCCATCAGCATTTGCATACAAGGCAATAGAAAGATGCTTCTTATTTTTTTTGCATCCAAAAATATGTTTTGTGACTAATATTTGATCTAGTTCTAGTCTATAAAAAGTAATACTATAAAAACAATGCTCTAAACTTTAAATTTCTCTAAATTGCTTAATTATTTAATGCTATTCAATATAATATTAAACATACCAGTAAAAAATAGCCCTGTTTCGTCTATATTATAAATTCATTTAAAAGGATAACTTGCACATTTATTACGTAATAATGGCAAAGCTTCATTAATAGCAGTTTAATTAGAAAATGCTACTTCTCTGTGAAGCTTTTCCTGACAAATTTTATTTCATTTTTTAAATCCTTGAAGCCAGCCAGAAGAAAATTGTAATGTATCCTCAGGAACTTTAAGTTCATTTGCTAGTAATTTAGCTTTTTCAATTAGTATCGCATTAATATTGATATCTTAATATGAACTTCTTAAGAGCAAGTTCAAGTTCTGAATACATAACAGACCTATAACGTTTTTGTTCTAAATTAATTACTTCAATGGTAAGTCTTTTTTTTAGTTTATAAAATTCGTGTAATAGTAGATTTGTCAACTCTAACTTTCTATTTCTATTTCACCTAAGCTATATATTGTTTTTGAATTAAATTGTTATAATTAGTATAAAGGCAAAACTCATACTTTTGGAAATCAGTTAGAGTAACAGGTTTTTTTAAGCATATTTGTATATATCACAAAATTGAAGTGAGATAAACCATAGTGTAAAAATATATGTGTAGCAAAATTACATGACATTTATTTAATAGGGTAAAATAGTGTGTAACAATTTGTATTAATCATTAGTGAAACAAATTTAAATCATGTGAGTGCATTTAGGGAATATTTTTAATATAGATAGATTGAAAATTTTACTGTACAGTATTAATAAAAAAAGTGTATTTAATTACTAGGTTTCAAGCTCAGGACTAAACTAGATAGTACACTTATAGAGAAAATGCACTTAAAGAGAATGCATTTAGAGAGAGTTGATTATATAAAATAGCATATTTTAAAAAAGATTTTCTTAGATAATGGTTATATTTATTAAATAAATATCCTTAAATACAGAATTATTTAAAAAAAATTATAAGGATATTTTAAATAGTAAGTCTAGTATTATTAATTAAAATATTTTACAATAGGAATACAAAATATCTAGCATATTAAAGTAATAAACTGCTTGATTAAAGGTGTAAAAAATACATTTTCTATATATAATCTTTATAAACAAATATAAAACTCTTAGATAATAAAGCTAAATAATCATATTATAATAATTATTTAAATACTTTTCTTACTAATCAAGTATCATTAATTATTAAATTAATATTTTTAAAAGTATTAAAATTTTAAATTTATTTAACTTTTCATATGTTAGTTATATAATAATAATAAACCATTAAACCTTTTTATATCAAGTATAATCTATTTAATTAAAAATATTTATGTATAATTGATACATTTAGATTACTATATAAATAATAAAGATTAATTGTGTAATATTATATAATTCTAAAAAGAAAATTTATCTTTTACAATATATACAATCTAGTCTCAACTAATAAAATTAATAAAATTCAAATTGCTACTTTTCATTCAAAAAAAAATGATAATCATAAAATATAATTATAAAATGATAAAATAACTCAAGCTTAACAAAACTATATTTTTAAAACTCTGATAAAACTATTTTCAATAGAATAGTAATAATTTAAAGTGAAATTATTTTACTATTAAATCAAAAAATTTAGCTGTCTTACACATGATTCACTTGATCAAATTTCCTACTTTTGATTGGTTAATTTTATTCTTATAATACTGATCAAAAGCTATAATATTATAAAAAAATTTAATGATCTTTTTTAGCAAATTTGGATTTTAAAAAGTTTTTCAAAAGATAAGTACTTTATTTTAATTGCTATTATTGATATGTACAAATTTTACATATTACTAATTTTTTTATTTTTCTTTTTGCCTATAACTAATACAAATAATCTGATGTATCTTATCTCAATAATAACTATTTGTAAAACTGAATTAGGAACTTAACAATATAAGCGATATTTTTTAACTGCAAATTCTACTATTCCCATTAGATTTTTTTAGTATACATTTATATAGCAAAATGCTTTTATTGTATACTAATGAATAGTTATAAGTAAAATAAAAGTAAGAGCTAATAGAACAATTCTTTGTAATTACATTCATAAATAATCACAATTTGACTGACTAAATTTCTTGACTACATCCTAAAATTTCTTAATATAATTGAATTCACAATAAAATTTAGAGTAAAATATGATTTGATATCTAGTTGTAATAATAATTTCTTCTAATTATCCCTTTTGTACTAAAAAAATCCAGTTGTTAACTCATATTTTTTGTATTTCTTTTAATTTTAACCTTCTATCTAGTTACAATTCCCTTTTTTTTAGAACTTACTTTAACCTTTTTAGCTTTTACGCAAT